CGCCACTTGTGTTCCAAGGCCAAGGCACAGAGCTCGTTGAGCCCCAACTTAATGTCGACATGGGATTAACCAACCCCCCCCCAAAAAACCAAGCCCAGCTAAAGCCTCCAACAATAGACTAGTTTGATCTCTGCAAACCTCCTCCTTATAATCACTTCCACCCCCTATTAATCAAGCCCAGCTCCCCCAGACAAAAAATATAATTAGTTTTGTATTTATTTATTGATTTTTTTAGTAGTCAATATCTTCTGGTCCATGGTGAAACTGATCTTCCAATCCACTCTTGTCTCATGCCATCTCTTTGAGATATAGCATTCTGATCCACCTTTTTCCCACGCTGATCCTCTGATTCATCAGCAGCAATCTGCGCAGCCAACCATCCCCCCAAACCCCAAAAACTCTCTAGCAAAATTCTTTCCTTTTCCCTTATTAAAACTCGATCGAAATCTTAAGGTTTTCAAGCTCACAAAGGATACCCCTCACACAGGCCCTACCACCCCCTAATCGTAGGGACCCCTCCCCCTAGTCATCAAGCCCACCCTCTGGCCTCCATCTTGTTTTCCAAAGGTTCTCATGTGGTTTCCATCTCTTCCAACCCTTTCATCCCGACTCTTCCAAATACTAATTCCCTTTCGTCTCAATTCTTCCAAATACTCATTCCCTTTCATCTCAATTCTTCCAAATACTCATTCCCTTCACCACAACTCTTCCAAATACTATTTCCCTTTCATCTCAATTCTTCCAAATACTCATTCCCTTTCATCCCAACTCTTCCACATACTAATTCCCCTTCATCTCAAATCTTCCAAATACTAATTCCCTTTCATCTCAATTCTTCCAAATACTAATTCAATTTCATCCCAACTCTTCCAAATACTAATTCCCTTTCATCTCAATTCTTCCAAATACTCATTCCCTTTCACCACAATTCTTCCAAATACTAATTCCCTTGCATTCCAGTTCTTCCAAATCAAATTCCCTTTCATCATCAGGTCATCACCTTTATTAAGGGGATGTGGTCTGCGCCCAGGGCCCAGACCTTGTTGACCTTGTTGACCTTGTGGGGGGGGTGATTAATCCTACGTCGACATAAAATGGTTTTGGAAGATCCTCGTGCTGAAGCTTGTGGGCAATCAGCCCGCCAAGTTCATCCAGAGCAATTCGCTCTGCTTCTTCAGCAAAACCGTCCTCTCGCGAAGCGCCTGTTCGGATTCGCTCGCCGAGGGCCTTGCCCGCAGCCGCGGAGAGGAAAACTTTGGCGTCGGGGGGCCAAACTCGTGCGAACCGACTGCCAGATGGAAGCGGCCGGATCCGGAGTTTCCCTGCCGCCACACTGGAGCTCCGGGGCGAATAACGTTGCAACCCGGCATTTGCCAACAGGGCCTGGGAAGAATGCGCGACGGCGATGGTGTCGAAGTTCTTAGGGCAATCGTTTGCACAATGGGCGCATTCTGCGAGACCCACCACGCGAACGAAAGACCCGTCGGAAGAAGGGCTTGGTGAAACAATGGCGGCGTGCTGCGCCATTTGGCATACATACACGCAAGGCCTTGCGCAGGCACAGTGCTGGTGGCCAGGGTGAAACGTTGAAAGTCACTTGCGTGTGAATTGGCTGCTTGGTAGTCCGTTCCAAACGGGTCCGGACTTCCTTGACAGCGTTGGAAAATTCGGGCACATCACGACCAGACGGTGTGAGCGCCAGCAGCTCTAGCAAATCTGGGTCGCTACAAAACATAAAGACGTCGCCGTCGAAGTCGGCGCCGCGAATTGCGCAGGGCCCAAGCCCGGCACAGTACAGCGAATTATTGCAAACATGCTTTGCATGTTTCGGGAGGGGGACGGCCACCCAGTTTTCGATGTCCCTTGGCTGGAGCATAGGGTAGCTCCAAACAGCAAACTTCCCCACTCACAGCTATTAATTACAATGTGGCACTGCTTGCCCTGCGCAAGGCTCAAGGCGCATTGACGAAATAGCCTTTGTCAATTTGCATGCTTCACAGCTCGAACAAACAGACAACGGCATCTTCGAGGCTAAAAGAAATCAAGTTGCAGCAAAGCTCCTTCAAAGTGCCCCATGTGTCTGTCCACGCCCTGGCTGACCCCGACAAGCCTTTCTTGAAAGGCAGCGAGGGCTTGCGGTTGTGGCCATTGACCATGGCATTGAACCGCCGGCGCCCTCGCATCAGCCTGTCTTTCGTGCCTGCAACTCCTGAAAGGAACTTTGATTGCTCAACTCAACTGCAATCTAACATAATTGCCAAACTTGAAGGCTCAAAATCAACCCCCAGCCTCGCAGGATGGAAAATGGTCGTGGCTCCATCTCCTTTTGCAAGAGCACGGCCAGGTCAGTTGGGTTCTCCAAAGCCTCCGGCGACGTTCTTTGATTGAGAAGGCAAACAGAAGGATTAGCGTAGCGTCCGAGCCTCTTGGTAGACCAACTCAATCCGGTCTTGGAGAACGCGCCGTGTGCCCCAAGGGTCTTGCGCTGCGGCAGGTGCATCTTGGGGGCGTGGACGTGGGCCAAGGCTTCGGGCCTCTAAAGACAAAAGGGAACTCATGACACGAAACGTGCTGTGTTGTAAAGAAATGCATGGTTACTATACGGCGATACGGTTTGATACGGGGTAGCAACCCAGGATTTGCGCCTTGGCCTTGCCGGTGGCTGGCTTGGGAGGGGCAGGCAACGCCCAAGCTTGGCAAAGAAGGTCTTCGGTCTTTGCCTGTGGCCCGCTCATGGTTTGAGAACGTTTCGATGAAATAGGGATTGGCCTGCCCTATAGGACTACTCGGGCGGTTGTTTGATTGATCCCTTCCCCTTTTGACCCTTCACAACGTTTCAGGAAATAGCCGCGCCTTTCGCCCAGCATCAAGCAAACCTTTCAATTTCGCTTCGGCTTCAACTTTCTCCTCTCACATTCGTGTATTCATTGGGGCCGAAATGAGTTCAATTGAAAGCGACACGTCACAGAGACAAGCTGACAAGCATGTGTCCCAATCCTGATCGGTTGCGCACAAGCAAATGCGGAGCATAATTGATGACTTATATTATAATTAAACACAGATTTATTGCCCACCAAACACCTTTTTTTGCGAGGTTAAATTACCCCCAAAGAAAAGTTTTATAAGCGGGGAATATTATTTAACCATCGGTATATAAAAGGTATCCGATTCGTTGCAGCTTTTTAGTACAATTTGGTTTTGCCAATCTAAATAGTTGGAGAAAATGTCTTGTAAAAGCTGGACAAATAATTTATCAAAAGATACATTGATTTTGCCGAGGGAACCTAAAAAAAAAGAATTGCCAAATCAATACCAATTTTGCAAATCCATGGGTTATTAAAAACGAATCCATAATAGCCGGCAATATATCCTAAGGCATCGTAAGCATTCCACGATTACAGGTATTGAAATCGCCAAAGCCGCTAACCTCAATCAATAAAATGCAAACAATAAAAAATTCGAAATGCATACCTAAGAAAGTTCCTTAAGTCGAAAATTAAGAAGGCTTACATAAATCCAATCATTAAAAGTATGTGTTCCTAATACAAATTAATATATCAATACCTACTTCGTAACGATATAACGATCGAAAATAACTACGTCCAAGAAAAATCGACCAAATAGATTAATTTCATTACGATTCAACATATTTTAAAAATCATCAATTCGATATCGACCAAGAAAAAAACTATATATAAATTAACAAAATATTACCTAACGGATATCTAAGAATTCAATAAATAGCAAAATAACTGTATTCCTAAATCCATATATTTAACTAGTTTTAAAGTAATATCGAAAATATCCTATTAATTTAAAAAAAAATCTATTAAAATACATAAATAAATACTATATTATATTAGTTTTTACTTATTGAAAGTTAAATAAAAATCAATTATTAATTGTACGAATATTATAATATATATTTTAAGACAAAATACTATATAATTACCTTAATTCCATCATTATAAAAAAATACAATATATATATATAATTAATATAAAGTTAATATTACAAAATTTATATAACATATATATATGTATATCATTAACAATAACCTAAATACGTTAATCAATTCAACACAAAAATTGTTTATATTGTTCCAAAATAACTCTAAAAAATGTTACATCGGATGTTCAATTAAGAATTCACTAAAAGATGTGTCATTGCAATACACACCAAAGATCAAAGTAAAAATGCATCTTTAATATATTCCCGTTAATATAATATTCGAAACAAATCAAAAATAGTAGAATCAAATTTAGTAATATCGTCTTTGTTAAAATAAATCAACATGGCTAAGGTGCATGTAAGCAATGATTTAAAAACAAAACCGATTCAAAAAGCAAACCGGAAGAATCGTTGAAGCCGAACCAAAAGCCTTACTAATTACAGATTGCAAGAGTTTTTATGACCTGGTAAACAAAATGGCGATTCCATATTATCGTAATCTTAATAAAATAACAATCGGAAGAATCTATTAAATGCAAGTAGACATCAATAGCAATCATGCTTAACCAATTGCATAAACAAACCAATGGATTCGACCTTCTTGGGAAAAATGTTGTCACTAGGCAAGTGTTCGAATTTATGACGATACCAATTCATCGAAAAGCAGTCCAAATAAGACTTTCAGCACTCGATGGGTGGAATCCCTCCCTAAAAAAGCAATGTCAATCGATTAGAAAACATAATCAATGTGAATCGATCGAATCGAGCAGCCGATAGAGCCACCTTCGAATGCAACCAATCCAGCAGGGTGCAAACAAGCCAAGAAACCACAATAATGGTTTGGCTCAAGCCCATTCGAATGCAAAGCAAAGGCGAGTAGAAACAAAAACGGTGGCCCGTTTGAATCGGGGTAGAAGACCACTTTGGATAGGTACGGTTTGGTAGATCCCCTTAGGTTGATTGGTTGTGGGCTGAGAAGCTACCTTTGTGAATTGGAAGAATCCCAGCCATATACGTGAATATGTATATATTTAATCAATATATAAATATGTTTTGATGAATATACAGAATTCTATTGATTTCTTAACCCTTCCCCAATGAAAATTCGCCCGTCAGCTTCCAGCTGTCTTCGACATCCGGATCACCATAGTTGGGCATTATCTGGGCTGATCTGGGATTGCCTTTGTTCTTGGATGTTCTTGGCATCTACGCCACCAACGTGAATTAGAAGTTGCCCCCCATGCGAGTCGCCGGCACACCATACGCTAGACCCCGGGGTGGCGAGGTTCGGATCAAGTCGCCACGAGTTTCAATTGGATTTACATGATATTGTCACGATATATCATGCAAAAAATGATGACGCCTACAACATTTTGTTTTTTTTCATCCGTCCATCATGTTTTTCATGCAAAAAATGAAACACATTCTGTGAAATGCAATGATTAAGGCTTAAGTCGGCTTAAGGGACATCTATGACCAGTGCCCCGACGGATCCCGGCATGGAAAAAATAACTCGGACTCCCTGCAATGCCGACCGCTGTCGGGGACCTCGGTCAGGCGTCCAAGAGAGAGAAAGAGGCTTCCAGAAGCAATGGCCTTGCTACTAGGGTCTCCTGGCATCACTACTAGGAGCAAGGATGCTACTAGGGGCTCCTGGCCATACTACTAGTAACAAGAAGCTACTACTAGCCTCTTGCTCCTAGTAGCGATGCCCTTGGATGTTGCCCAAGAATCTGTTGGATGTGGTGCCCCAGAATGCGTCATACCCGGTCTTGTTCGTCCGGTGTTCGGCGGTCTGTCCAAGGGAACAAACCCACCTCGGACCTGGTCGACCGTAGACCACCGTAGACCTCTTCTTAGCCCTCGTCACCCACCGCTCGACTCGCCTCCTGTAAGCCGGTGTGGATCGATGCGACCTGGACACGCGACCGTCGATCAGCGACCGGTTTCACTTCAAGACCGAACACCTGGATCAGCGACCGAGCCCAGCTTTAACGTGTTCAACACATCTGAACACATAGTATATACTTGGATCGTTTGAATTGAACAAGGCAGAGTTGACATATGGCATGTGAGGCTTCAAATTGTTCTGAACCCTGTCCATAGTTTTGAACCGTAATGGCCCATATATTTTTTGGTTGACAACCCCCAGCTGGAACGTCTGTCACCTGTGCCAGCTTCTCCTCCACCAGCGCGGCCGCCTGGCGGTTTTACGCTGCAGCGAGGATTGGATGATTGACTGACGCAGACTGCGGTGAATATGATAGGATGCTTCTGGATGCTTTAGGCTTTAGGGTTTAGGGTTTAGGGTTTACTCTTCGTTCAAGTGCTGGCTTAGAATGGCTTAGATGGGTTTCAGCGCCGTCAGACAAGCCTTGCAGGATTCGAGCCAGGAGTTTGGCTTGGGGAGTGTATTCGCGTGTAATGGTAATCGTTTGTTGGTCTTCAAAATGAAAACATCACCATCACATTCATTGGACTTCTCCTGGTGTAGCTAAGACCAAGTCAAGGAAGACTGAAGAAGCAAAGTCAGAGCTCAGGCATACCAGGTGGCTGGCTCTTGCAAGCTGAAAGGATTTTCAGGATCTGATGGAACCGATTTGCAAAATCTTTGCATATCTTTATTATGTTTGTTCTAGTCCTTCCAATGTTTCTGACCCCACTCCTTTCCTTTTCGTTGGTAGATTGTTAGATAGTCCCATGGTTGCCATAACTCCATCAAGCGCCAAAAGCACTAAACATGGCGCGACCCACCACTGTAGTGGCATGTGGGATGGCCTCGGTGGCCACCGATTTTCAGGCTGTGAACAGCCGAACAGCCGCTGTGGAACAGCCCGCAGCCAGCCCTCTGATGGCTGCAGCGATCAGCTTGACCCAGATCATCAGACCAGGTTGACGGTTGATTCAAAAAGACCCCCTGAACCTGGGGATGTAAAGGTCTGGTTTGATTGAAGGGTGCGGCTACATGGCCACTGTGGCCAAGGCAGAACATGATTGGTGAACACTGTCTGGCGTCTGTTTTAACCCTCAGAGTTTTAGCATTTTGCATTTTGTAGTGACTACTGACTACGTGTAGTGTCAATTTTGTTCGACCCGACGTTGACGTGAACCTTGAAGTACCAAAACATTATTCTTCAGTTGGGTCGAAATTTTCGCCTGGCAACTCTGATGTCACAAGCTGACATGTCTGTGTAAGGGCCAAAGAAAGTGGACGGGTTTGCGGCCAGTTTTAGTGCGCCTCAAAAGGGGAACCATGGGGCATTCACCAAAAAAACCATGTCACAGCACCTCTTTCCGACGGCCCGATGCGTGTCATCCAGGCGTGGCCCCAGAGTAGAGCTGCTGCTTCAGGTCACTCTGAATTTGGCTCAAGGTCTTGGCCACCCCAAGAAACACGGACGATGCCATCACCAGCTTCAAAAAGCCCGAGAGGATGAGCCGACGATTCACCACGGTACCGGTGCCCCACAAGACGAAGCCTAAGCCCTGTCCCGCATTGGACTCCTCGTCGGCGCCGAATCCAGGCCGCCGAAGGAAAAAAGGGAAACCAGGTGTCCCCGGACGGCGTGAAGGCCCCACACAAAAGCTCTGCTATGAAGACCCCCTGTTGCATCCGCAACTTGTTGCGGATGTTCTTCTCCAGAAAAAAGGGGTAACAACACCCAGTTTGGTTAACACGCCCAAAAGTCGTCCCCCCCTGATTCGCCCATCAACATCCCATCAACATCGACGTCCGGTCCTGGATATACCTTTCCGTTTTGCGGAGTTGCACGTCGTCCTTCAGCTTCTCGAGGCTGCGGAGCTGGTTCAATTCCATCAGCAATCGACCACAGGCATCTGACACCAAGGCTGGTGGGATGAGACAAAGCAAGCCCAGTGGCAAGGAGGTGAGCATAATGCCCAGCAACTTGATAGCCAGCTCCACCTGGCAAAGTGGTGTCCATGTATGCGTGGAGATACCCCATGTCCAACCATATGGGCGCATGGTGATGAGGTGCTATAGATAATATGCGTTGCACACAAGAACCCGTAACCCTATCTGCGGTCTCTGACTCTGACTCGACTCTTTTTCTCTGCCAAAGGCGCCCAGTGCTTCAGGATCTTGTCAAAGTCCACTGCCACAAAGCCAAAGAGCCACAGAAACGAATAGGTCCAACTCACGACGGCGAAGCCCAACGCGGAGGCGCCGATCTTCTGGAGCGCCGGCAACACGTCTTGGGCCAAATTCACCGCTTCCTCGTGGACCTTCCGGGTCACCTTCGTCACTTCCTGCCGTTTTCGAATCCCAGCATGGCTGGTGGCCATAAAACAGCACGACTGAAGCCTTTGGGACAAAGAAAAATATCAAACAGTTTCGGAAAAAGGATCGCCGAGCCTGTCATAGCCCATCTTCAAAACCCACTATGACAGGGTGAACTCGTGAACAACCAGACATTCACCGCGCGAACGCAGTCCTCCTCTTCTGGTTCATTAAACTTTGTTGGCTCTGAGCCAGCATCGGTGTCATCCTCCACAAGCAAAAGGGATCGTACTTTTTTCTCAGCCGCAGTCACCCAATTCCTTGCGACTGATGCAACAATGTAGGAGTCCAGCATGAACTGCCTCACATTGTGCATAGAGTTCTGTTTGGTTGGCGTTGTGACCGCGACCGTTTAATGATATTTACTGTATGTTTACTGTTTATACGTGGTGACGGCGTCGAAGAATGCTGTCGCTTGAACCTCGACTCAAACAAGCCCAACAAACCCGGCTTGTTGCTGAGGGTCAGAATGGAGATCCTCAACAGGCCAAAGTAGCAAAGCTCCATGCACAATTCGGCCGCTTGTCCTTTCCAGGCATGCTCCAAATGCTTGTGGTGTGAGAACGAAGCGACTGCAAGCTTGACGACTGCGTAAATGGCATGGATTGCAACAGCGAAACACATCAGAATCGTCGGCAAGCAAAGGTAAAGTCCCTTGCGCAATTCATCTGCGAGTGATTTGCTCAAGCCTGCCACACATGTGGCTCTGGACCATCTTCTTTTTCGCCTTCCTGATACTTGGACAGGCTCCAAACAAACATATATGTATATATAGTTATATATATATATAGAGATTAACTTTTCGACCCAAACACCCACTGCCAAAAAGGGCGATCAAAAACATCACCACCAAGCAACGTATCTCTTTCTGCTTCTCTTCCGAATTTTCTGGCTCGTCTTTCTTATCCACGACGAGTTCATTTGCCTCAGTCGCCATCTGTCCAAACTCCAGCACGATGCACATGGCCAACATGAGACCCTCACGCACCACGTCCAAGACTTCAGAGAGTGGCTCCAGGGGAAAAATCCTCCAGGAGAGCCAAAACCTCCAACAAACGTTGCTGGAGAAAAAGAGGATCAGGCTAAACCTGCGGTTGCGCAGCGAGGTCTTCAAACACCGGAAGTAGGGTTCTTCGAAAAAGGTCTTCGATAGAGCAAAATTGAAGATTTGGTGCTTGACCCAACCAGTGGTTTTGTGTTTCTGCTTCTTGACTGAAATTGCTGCTTCATGGTAAACTTGAGAAACAACAACGCATTCTCCAGCACTCTGTTCACATCTGTTCACCATGCAATCGGAATCGGCCTTGTGATGCGACTTTCGATGCAGAACACCAGCCAGCAGGATTTCAGTCTAGGTGCGGGTTCCAAAGGGTTCCCCTCCACTGCCTCTCTGGGCTCTACGTCTTCCAAAGCAGTGCCCATCCAGATGTTCCACAAGAAGCCTGAGGAATTGAAAGACCCCACACGGAAGACAAGCACCTGACAAGCACTTTTGGGACATTCACGGAAATTCAATGTGAACCGATCCAAGACCTACTGTAGGAGGGAAGTTAAAATGGTACCAACTTGGGGCAGTCAGGTCGCATGGCAAAGTACCCAGAATGATCAAGAGAGCCAAGCATGCTGGGAGCAGCCCTGTGACAAACAGGACCCAATGTGCTGGCGGAACTGGGGCAGCTGCCAATTTCACCGTGTAGTGAAGCCTGGTTGGTCGTGAAGCCGGTAGTTCCCAATGAACATATGAGTCAGACGGTCAGACCCAGCGACGACTTAAAAAGCGTGACTTGTTCGAAAGGGAACCTGACAGAAATCGAAAGCATCTTGAGAAAGCTCACCACCAAGATACTCACGGCCCTTTTCAACCTTCTTCGTCTGTTGATTCCAAAGCTTCATCACACCTCCACCGATCAGAAAGATCATGAAAAATCCAAGCCTAGCAAGTTACCGTAGCAAGTTAGTCTCCGTATTCTTTGATGGGACAACAAACCTCTGTCTTATTCGTGAACATCCAAACCTAGCAATGTCCGCTTTTCACACGCCCACCCGGTCTCTGTGGAGGAGTCCCTTACTCGACAATAAAGCAAAAAGCACAAAAAAACGCCTGAACGAAAAATAGACCTGCAGCCAAGACACTGATGAGATTCCAGTGGCTCACATCTCTTTGGTCAATCTCAAGCACATGTGCTCCAGTCGGGTCGGTGATTTTCTTCGCCACCTCTCCATTAGGTGCGTAATCAGAGATCACCACTCCTCCGCCATAGACATCTGTGTTCTCATAGGACTGGCTCAAGATCACCCCTGGGTGTTTCCCTTTTTGGAGTCTCAGAATCACCGGATCAGCGTCCTCCCCGAACACGGTTTCCGGAATGATTTTATCACCCTCTGCCAGTGAGTGCTGAAGTGCAGCCTGATCTGGTTCCTCGGCAGAACGAATCGCAAGAGCCTCCGGTAGCAGCCAGGCCCAAAGAAACGGCCACCAAATGATGAACAGTGACATTGACATAGATGTGAAACAATATGGAAGCTGCTCCAAACAAGTACAGGGAAACACAAGTACAGACAACAAGCGATCTTTCTTCAGGTGTCTAAAGCCTTGAGCATTTTGCGGCGAATCTGTGTGTCTCTTCGATCGCTGATGGTTCTATCCCCCAGCAAACTCAGCCACGAGTGCCCCTTGGAACCAATCAGGGGAGTCAAGGAGCCTACCTCATGCTTACTCTCATGATTCTTCAAGTGGAGCCCTGAAAGAGTGCAAAGTAGGGAGTCCCACCAGCCCAGTTGAAGATGTCTCAAACGTTTGACAAAGGTTTCGGGAAAAAAGAACTGATACTGTAGTTGAAAAAGGACCGGCCAAGTTTGCACTGAACGAAATGCTTTCCGGCCAACTTCACAAACACACGGCCCGCCCACGGCCCGCGTCCCGAAGAACCCCGCGACGTCTGGGAATGGACAAGGATTCGAATTTTTGCATAATTGACTGTGGCAACGCCCAACACCATCATACCCAAAAACTCTTCCAAAGTTCAAACTTGTTTGAAAAGGTTTCCTCGATGTTCACCCCCCCAAAACACTTGGACAGCCACCGGTGGGCCGGGCCGAGGCGTTCACCCATCTTTCTGTCCCAACGCCCTCGCCGGACCCCGCCGGGTCCTCCGGACGTGGCCCAGGGCATTGAGTTCCACGAGGTCAAAAGCTGCTTTGTCCTGCCGAGGTTTCAGCCGCCTTTTTCACGTACCGCAAAAAGAAAGAGCCGGGGCTCTGCACTGTTCACCTGTTACACTCTGGAAGACCAACATGGACCCTCAAAACCACTGGTGGGTAGAGGAAAAAACTATCTTGCCACTTCTGAAGTCTTCAGCAACTACAGTATCCGGGGTTCCTCACAGCTTGACAGAGTGGAGGACCGGAAGACCCAGTCAGAAGGCATCCTTTTATCGTCCAGAACTGACCCCAAAAAGTGCTCATAACATATTTAATGTATTATACAATCAGGTATTGCGTTAAAGTCATAACGCTAAATATCACCAACCATTTTCTGGAAAATGGCCCATCCTTACAGTTGTGTGCGTTTCGCACCAACCCGCCTGAGACCCTGTGAGCATCTGCTTCGCCGCTCGCACATAGTAGCCGGCACCTGCATCAAAGGCGTCTTGTCTTCGATGAGATGAGCAGCACTTGTGGGCACCAGCATTGTGTTCACCCAGACTGAGACTTGATGCGCCCCAAAGACCTATGTTTGACCGCTTCACCCAGAAAACGTACACACACTCGAGAAAGTGCGTACGGAAACTGATCGCCCCAAGCCCTGAAGAAGCCTAAGTGAAAAATGACCATCTCAAACCTCTAAAGCCTCCAAAACCTGAAGCCCGTACTGTACATCTCAAAGGCGGCAAGAACTCGTGACTGCAGTGAAGGAACCGCTGCAATGGCCAAAGTCCTGGTCTAGTTCTGAATGGGATCAAGGAGGAAATCATAACTCTGCAGGTACGCAGTTGGACGTCTCCAACTGTATCACAAATAACTGATGAGCGTCTTTGTTAGCACCGGTCTCATCAGCACCCCGCCGTGCTCCCTGCAAAAATAGAACTCCAAATCAAAGGATTCCCTGTGACTCCAAGGGTTTCGCCCGCACGCCCGCCCGCACGCACGCTCGCACTTGACTGAAGGTGTGTGGTCTTTTGGAGTTGGAGTCAAAGAGATGTTGCAAATTGGGCCCTTCGAGAGAAGATGCATGCATATTCACGCAACGTGCACTTTGTTCAAGCCGTTTGGTAAACCAGCAGCCTCTTCATGCATATTCAAACAACGATGATTCAGAACTGGCCCAGTAAACATAAAGCCCCGAAGATACTCTGTGAGTCTCTCACTCATGACAGCCATCAGTCACTCTAGTCGGTCACTGATCACCATACAAATCACCAACCCAGCCCAATTGTCTATCCCATCACCAGCACCAGCACCAGCACCGGCACCCAGCACCAGCACCAGCAACCTGTCTCGAAAGCGCGCACGGGCAACTCATTGTTATTTGAAGTAAGAACCCCATAGCTTCGCTATCTGGGGAAAAAATCCATCACCTCCGTCTGGGATATGCGAGGCTCCAACTCTTTTGCTTGGAAAGCTTCATGACGATTTTGGACTCGTCGATAGGGTCCAACCTCATCGAAAGCAGCATTGCGCACTTCGACAGGCGGATGCGAATAGGTTCGTACACCCCTGGGTGTGTGTCAATCAGTAATCAAATCCAAGTTTTGTTTGGGTGAGGTGACTATCAACCACCAAAACTTGAAAATACAGTAATCACTCCTATGCATCCCTTGTCATCAATATCAACAATCAACAGACGTATTTTGGACTACTGTCTATGCCTCATCTGTTCTGGGTCCCATAAGCCTTTCGGGCTGTCTTCTCAGCTGAAGGTGCAATACAGCACCTGAATGAGAAGGCTGCAGAGAACATCGTAACCAAACATCTGCCAGTTAGCTGCGAAAGTGTGGCTTGCCTGGGTTTTATGTCTGGTGGGCAAAATGCAAAATAAACAGGGCGACATGAGCAGCGACGCTCGTGGCATCCAACAAAAACAGAAAACGCGACGTCTTCCGACATCTGCGACTGGAGAAACCCCATGTGTGGATGCTGTTCGTCTGGATTCATGAGAAAAAGGAGAGCAACAACCCCAGCCCACTACCCGACTTTCTTCAGAAAAGTATCACATTGCCATAAAACTCCAAGAACCAACAGGCGAACACTCAACACCACATGGCTACAAAGAATTGAAAATGAAAAAGTTATCAAAGGAGACACAGGTTATACTCTATGTCATGGCCTTACTCATGTCCAAACTTGTTTTAAGCAGAATGGCCATCTAATTATAGCTATATAATTGACTATTATAAATATATAGTTTCTGCTAGAAGTTTGAGACATGAGTGTGTAGTTTAATAGGGAGATCCCCTGGCCCTGGCTGGGCAGGGGGTCGAATAGGGGTCGGTCTCCGTACAAATCCACACCCCACATGTCCAAAACCGCATCATCTGAACCTTCACCACCGTCTAGCAGCTTCCATATACAGGTTCCATAGAGGTTCCATATTCCCTCTTCGCCCCCCCACGTGCAGCTGGCCGCCCGAGGTCGGACCTCCGGCGCCTGGTGACCGATGAAACACGTGGAACGAACGTACCGAGACGGTGGAACCGATGGGAGTCTTCTGTCTTTTTGGTGCGGAAACATGCTTGGAATGATGAACGAAAGAGACATTTGGTGAATCTATTTTGCAAAGACCCGGTCGGTTTTCTATCAAGAACATGTCCAGCTGGTAGCAATGTCATCCTTTTCCGAACTGTGACTGTGACCCATCATCTCTTTGAAAACAAGTTAGCATCTCGAACATTTCCTCGTTTGGATTCAACAAGAGGGACCCGATTTGAAACGATCATTTCCAGAACTCACATAATGCGACTCCTGACCTACAACCAGAAAAGACGGAGTGATGAGTGATGACTGGCCACATCCTAATCGGCTTGGGGCTGCATCCCAACATACCCCAACCCTGTTCCAAGCCCACAAGAATCTAGCCTCCAACCCTGCGTTCCAGGCTTTCCAAACCAAAAGAGCCCAACAAAACATGGACCAAAACGTTCCAGCCTTGGATCCTTTTTCTGAACCTTCACACATAGTTTTTTTTGGGTTTTTTTTTATTTTTTATTTTTTTTCGGAACATCATGCTTTTGCTCTGAACCTTGCCACGGACGGTTGTTCTCCTGCGCGGAACCTTTGCGGATGGAATCGGCTCTTCTCATCGTGTTTGAGACCAACCTGAATCATCCTCCCTTCCTTCATTGCTCTGTCGTCACTCTGTCGTCTACACATCAGAAAACAACCCAGCTGTGTGTTGGGTCTGTCAGCTGTCAATATGATGAAAGAAGCACCACAGTATACCACAGTCATCTGTCACATCCAGGCTCCCCCTTGAATCATGTTTCTTGGTCACCCGGCTGCCAAATCGGTCACTTGTATGGTTTCGTCCACGTTGGGAAGCATCACATCTCTCCCAAACCTCATTGGGTCAAGGGGTCCGCCAATAGAAGAAAGCGCTCGCTTATCCTCTTCTTGGGGCATTCACAAAATGGGCTCCAGAACCCACAAGAAGAGCCTTCTGCTTGGGGTCCTTCAATCATTGGTGCCCCTGGACCGTGGACCGTCGCAGCGAATCATCGGGGAGCCGCCCTGAACTTTGTTGGACACCTTTGTTTAATCACCGCGGGTTAGGGCCTCCCTAAAACCAACTGGAGTAGTACGACTCAACATAGGTGCTAGATCTACATCTCACGAGAAAACCCCCAGGCATCACCAGGCTATTCCTGTGGAACATGTGATGAGAGGACTTTGTGTGGTCTGAGAACTTGACTGGAAACAAAGGGATTGCCTCCCTCTTGCTCATTGGAGGTTCTACTTCAACAAGAGCCTTGTGAGTTTGTAAGGGGACAGATCTCTGCAGCGGGGAGAATCTTGATTTATGGTAGGTGCTGCTTCCAAGTTCTCGCATCAATAACACCTCAAAGAAAAGCGGAAGCGGAAGCGGGTAGAAGATGGATGCGAGAGTAGATAGACATAGATAGAGTTGGGGAAATCTAGAAATGGACAAATGGTATTTCTGAATGCCAACACGACGCGAACACTCCGGTGAAACTGCCTGCCTTTCAAAAGGCGTTGTTGTTCATGGTGTTTCACCATTCACTGCTCTTGTTCTCTGCTGTTCTAGAAGGAAACTTCCGCATGGGGTTTTGTGGTGAAGCCGCACCCCGGGGGAACTGCTGCGGTGCGGCATCCGTGCGGCCCTCCCGCAGCGAAAACGAACAGAGCCGGGTTTCCCTTGACCGAGAACCGGGTTTCCCTGCTCTCCCTTCACGAAGACTTTAAGAAACTCCGGGAAGGTCACGATGTTATTGCCTGGGACACGTCTTCACAACCGGAGACCTTGAAAGCAAAGAGTTTACGACCCAATGTTGGCCTGATTTCGCCCCAAGTGGCTTGGTAACTGAGGGGGATGACCATAGCAGTCGGGGGTCGTTGTGAAAGATTTCTATTGGAAAACTAACAACCCTCTACGTGCTCAAAGCTGCTGCATGTTCTTTCACTAGGCCAGGCATGGCCAGGCACTACTTGAACCACCAGTTCAACAGCACCAAGTCCGGTGCAACGGCCTCGTGGATATAATACTGTCATGTCCACAGCGTATCACAGCGTCATGCCCATGGGTCCTGCCAATGGCTTTGTTCTAGCCTGCCACAGTGACACCGCTCTGTGCGTATGTGCAGCTATGTGCCTCACAAAATCTGCATGTCTATGCTTCAAAATTGGGGCACACCCAAGGAAAATATGGGGTCTATCCTATCACCAGTGACAGCGGATGATGATGGTTGGTAAAGGCCTTTCTCTAAAAGAGTGATAATTGTCTACCGACTGTTACAGGTAATAGGACAGACTCAAATGACATACCTTTGGCTACGTTTAGCCCAAAGCCATCTTCAATCGCCCAAAACCCTTCCAGACCCCACGACCTCCTCCCCCCCCCCAAGTGTAGGGCCGTCAATGTCAAGTGTGATGAATTGCTCGGACAGCTCCTGAATGTTTGGGCAGCAGAGGGTGGGAAGACCCAGAAATGCAGTAAGTAGACGGAATCAATTTTTGTATCTCAATCTCAATATAATATGTCCCAAATATTGTAAACTTGCACCAACAAAACTCAAATGATGAACTCATGTTCACCAATGATGATGAGCACTTCTGCGTAGAGAAAAACAGAAGCACTCCACATGAAATGGGAAATGTGCGATCAAACAAATAGGTGTCAAATGGTGTCAGGCTTAGCATGTCATGCCTATGTTCAAACCTTTGATGGATAGTATATAATAAAGCCAACCTATCAACCAACCAGCCTCCGAATGGTGCGGCACCAATGTGTTACCCTCATCGCTCACATCATGCTCCTGCTCGGACATGGGCGTGCCCAGCTTCTGGTTCATCTCCTCTCACGGTGTGGGTGCATCGTTCGCGATTGGTGGTCTTCGAACCCCCCAAAGCAGGTTCAAGAACATGCACCCCTAGTAGCGTCCGTGGCCATGCCGGAAGCCCCGTTCGTATCGTCCTTGCTCCTAGTAGCCGTCTTTTGAACCCCAACCTTCCCCTCCCTGACTCGTACTGTGCCACCACGAAGGATGATGACGTGGTCGAGATGCGCACGTCGTCGATGCGCACGTCGTCATTGCGTTGAACCTCGCGGGACCTGCAGGACCCGCCGAAGGTGGCTTTGCCAAACCCCAAGCTTGATGATTCTCATCCTGCCCAAACAAAAGACTGACCCTGCCGGATTCACCATCTTCATGGGCATCACCTTCCTAATACAAATGGATGAGATTGCTCAAAAAGATTCAAAAAGGCTTTATTTACGCTGGTCAAGAATTCCCCTATTCGCTTCCCAGGGCTTCGGGTTAGTGTGTACCCACCACGAACGTTTCATTAAAATTGACTTTTGGCGTGGTTGATCTGGCTCCGCCATGCTCTGGACCCCATGCTCTTTCCCCTACGTCATCCTACATCCATGGGCCGCAACTCCTTGACCTCTTGGAAGGTGATCTTCCCATTTCCATCCTGGGACGAACGTTCGCTTACACAGGACATCGATCGGAATCGGCGCAGACCCGGTCACATGAGTCCAACGAATCAGATTGGCAGCTCGCAAGATGCCCTTGAGGACACCCAAACCAAGACAAAACCGGTCCGGTGTGAGCGTGCGTTCGAGCCGCGAGATCCAAGACGTCAAAGGCTTGCTTTTGCTCCAGCACCTGGCAAATCAGCCAAGTTCAGGTTCCAGTCGGCTTCTTGGACCGACTGTTCCGGTCCCACACTTTGGGAACTGCTGGGCCAGTGTCGGGTTGCAGCTTGGCAACCACGATCTGGGGCGAAGTGGGGGTCCTTGCTTTGCTCAAAGGGCCGTGATCTGCAATGGATGAAACGGCTGTTTTGGGCCAACAATCTCGATTGCCAAGTGTCACACAAAACAGCCATGGCCATTGCTATTATGTTGGAGGCCATCACTATTTAGGTTGGAGGCCATCGCTTCTAGGTTGGTATCTAGAACATATTTAATAGGCTCTTCGACGATCTCGCTCTTCACCGTGCACAAAAACGGCTTCGGTGAGCCGCGCGGCGCCCCCAGGCGGTGCGTCGTTCATCGCCTGATCTTTGGAGAGCTCAAAGCGTGCCATGTAGGCCTTGCGAGAAATCGGAAAGGTTAACAGAAATTGTCGACATTGAGGGAAACAAGTGGAACACATGGCCCGAAATGAAGGTCAACGTTTTACAGAATCGGCAAAAACAAATGCAGACAATACTGTGCTGATAAGAAAGAGTTGAACATGTGTGTGGGTGTGTGTGTGTCTGCAGTGCGTGTGTTGTTACGGCTGGCAAACTAATGCAACAATACGCAACATGCAACAAACAATGAAGGACAATTCATCAATCGAAAGAGGTCATAAAGTTCGGGATCCCGGTTTGTCACACTGACGACAACCTTCACTTTATATAACCCTTAATTAAGAATGTTGTTGGCAAATGTTATGTTTTGCCAAAAATGGGTCTCGGATGTTTTCCGCCCGTTGAAAAACTATATCAAATGATTGATCTTGGGTTCCCAGATGTTCCAAAGTTCTGTTCTTTCGCAATCTGTGAGTTGTTCAATGCTCTCTTGGAAACCAACCCCTTCTGCTGCATGTACAGTAACAAATTCCATCAAATGTCCAACCCGTCGCTTGTCCAGCAGCTGCCCATGCACTCGCACCTCCAGCAGACTGGCCGAGAGCGGCCCCTGGCAGTCGACCCTCTCCCTCCCCATGGGCGAATCCCCATGGGTCCCAAAGCACACTTTGTCGTGTCGGAAAGTTCGGTTCACCACGTTGCACGCGTGGTGCAGGCTATATCCTTGCGGTGCTTTTCGAGATGTGCTGTCACACCAGGAGCTGAACCAAGCACCTCTGCCTTTGGGGCTCTGAATGCTAAACTAACAGCTCAATTGGATCTTTCAATCTTGCAAAGAGGACAGAAGGCTCTCTTTTTACCAGTTTAGGCCGGTTCTGCAGCTGCAACCAAGGAGCTCACCCAAGAAGGACAGATTAGAAAACACAGGAAAACACGACCACGAGTGGTAGGCTCATGAGAAGGTTCAGTAAATTTCAGTAACGAGTCCATCAACAACATCCAAACCACAGGCTAGGAGCTTCAGGCTAGATACAGTAGCAGCTACGACCTCATCTTTCACTCGTCTGAGCCCAGCAAAGTTGGGGCCAAAACCATGCAGAAGCCACTCCGTTTTGAGCCGCCCCTGAGAGAGTCTATATGCAACTCAAAAGAGCCACAGCCCTTCAGTCGCTTATAGTGACCCTCGATGTGGCAAAGTGGCAAAAGTGGATCCCATTTCGATACGAAATCATTTCAGTCTTATGCCATGCCCTCCCAGCGACCAGAGACATTGCTATAAAAACAACTATCACTCACACTGTCGCACTGATTTCTGATGTCTGTGATCTCCACAGGCCACATACTCCGGCCTTGCTCACCTGTAGCATCGCAGGCAGCACGGGCATCGACACGGCAGCTGCAGTAGGGTCGTTAGACGTTGACAATGTCTGAAGCTACGTGACGTACAGCTACCACCTGACATCCTGCGCAAAGGTATCCCAATCAGGGATACTCAGGGTGTTACCCAACGGAAGCTGAAGAGTTTCCTTCCTCCAAAGTCATCAGTGGAGTCAGTGCCTTGTGCAAGGAAAGTGATCGACGTCTGACACAAATGATGTGACCTTGAATAAGCTCCTTTTGCCGGCAATGCTTGTTCCAATGGTTTTTTCGGCCAGTGCTACATTGTTAAACGGAATTGCACAAACAATGTGAGGGAATTGTCCTTGTAAGGAACAGATCCAGTTTCTGAAAATGAAATAAATCTTAAAAGCATTTAAAAGCCAAAGATAAACTTAAAAGTGTTGTTGTCCTATGCCCTACGCATGGTTGCTGGATGTCACTCACATGTGTTAGCCGACCTTGTGCTAGACTCACATGTGAGCACATTGAGCAAGTTCGAGGCGCGCGGCAACCCGCAGCGTGTCAGATCTGATGGATGATGGATGATCATGTGACGGTGAGTCAGAGACAGACTGGGTAGCGGTAGAAGGAGAAGTGGTCTACAACGCTACAGGTGTCGGGGCCTTAATTCTTGAGCTGCCAAATGACCCCAAGGTAAGCACTAGGCATTTTGCTGACACAAGCCACCCACAGTCGCAGGATTCGAACATAAGCCCTTCCTCTAGCCAGGAAGTAAACAAAAATAAACAAATGGATCTTCGCAGGAGCCAGCTCGGTGCAATCTCAAGATGTCAGTCTGTGGCTTATCGGCGAGTAGAGTAAAGCCACACAGCCTTCTCTTACTCGCACTCTTGTCGCATTAATTACCAAGAATGATCAAGAATGTCAAATTAGCGCTAGGAGCAAGCAAACAAGCTATCTGCTGTGTTTGCCTCTAATTTCTACGACACCTTCTCTGCAGGCTGCCCTTTGTGAGGTTCAACAAATCCACTTCCTGCGTTTGTCCAACCTCCACGCTTCAATATGCTTCAATCAGGAACGAAAAAGACCCCATTGAACCTCTCCAAAAACATGGGGGTCCGGGGTCGGCGACTTTTTCAGGCTCGTGGCTGGAGACCTCGTACACCCCCCCAACTCAGCTTCTCCACTTTCGGCCCCTTTTTGCTCAGTCGCAACCCTCCAGGGAGATGGGCGCCACCGCCGCGGCCGCTGCCGCGGGCGCTGCGGGCGCTGCGGCAGCCGGAGCGTCCTACCCGGCGTCGTGCACAGGTCCGGAATGCAAGAAAGATGGCATCTAAGCTATTCTAAGACATCTAAACAAAAATGGACAGCCTAGGGCGCAACATCTAGCTAAGACGGAGCGCGCGCAAAAATTGGGGGTTCGCATCGGGTGCATGAAAATGACCACATCCGAGGACAAGGATCTACAGCTTTCCGACGGCTGGAGGATGCTGGAACTGCCGGTACCGCTGGAAGTGCTAACAACCACCGATGTTTTCCCCCCCGCCTCGGCGACATCATCTTCGTCAAGCTCCTTAGAGATTGGCCAGGAAGAGCAGAAATCATAAGAGATTGGCTTTCATTATGCTTTCATTTGCCCCCTGGAAAGCCAAAACTCCTCAAACAAAACGTGGGTGACTTCGACCCAAAATGGCGCCCATTCCGCCAGGGCGCCATAAGGCCGTCCGAAGTCTTGGGAGGCCTCACCAGCAAAATCCCAGACCCATGCGGAAACCAACAGACTTGTCTTTGCTGTTGCCCATGGCTTAGTAAGCTTGAAATCCAGGTGTCCGTCATCTACGGGCGTTCCATACATGCGAATCCCATGCGTCTTCCAAAAAGAGCAGCCGGTCGGCAGCTGACGCTTCAAATAACTGGTGTTGGCAGTCGGTCATTGAGTCATTCAAGTATTGAACTAACAGGCGCGCGGAGCCCTTTGCGCCTGTAAGCTGACGACAAGGCCTCAATCTCCTAGCAGATCTGGAACTGTGGTGGATGGTGATGGTTCAATTCAAGTGCCTTTCAATCGACCCACTACAATACAATGGATGGAGATCGAATGAGATAGATGGATGGACGGATTGATGGAAGTTGTCACGGGCCACAAACCCCATGAGAGAAAGAGAGAGAGAGATAGATGTTATTACCAACCGGACCAAGTTCTTGCGAGAAGGCGCTAAACATCGAGATCCAAAACCAAACGAGAAAATTAATACTTCGAATATACGAGAACTAGACTCTTAGACTTTGGGTTTTTGAGGTTTGACTTCAGGTTTCACTGGCAAAGCCGTCCTCCGAAACCGTCCTCCCAAACGAGCGATCGCCCAACCTCTGGAAAGTCGACTTGAAGCTTGCTGAGCACCTCGCCATCCCGTGAGTGAACGCCCGGATGCCGGCACTTGCTGCTTCAACCGAGTCTGGCCAACCACCCCTAGTATGCGACCCGCCAAAGCTGTGGTCCTTGCTTAGGTTTAGTTTGGCGACACTCATGTGAACATGTGAACATGTCATGGGAGCCTTTTGAAGAGATGTCAACTTGGTCTTTGACCGCAACAATCCTTTAAATCGTTCTGAACTGTGTTGGCAAGTCACGGCAAGTCCCTCCAAGATCCAACCGCCCAATGGGACGGCAAAGAGAAGCGTGACGCCCCGTTACGGAAGACCGCGGGCCATGGGGGATGATAGCGGATAGTTCTCTGCAAACAGTTCATCTCAGGTACTGCATGCAATCAACCCAGGCTTCAATCACAACGGGATCTGTCAAAGGAGTTCCCCTCCCCAAAACCATGTCTTACAACGAAACTGCGCCCAACTAACGTTGAGTTGAACTCCCCACACTGATGGGACTAACTGGCCTTTGTCATGTGAAGTCCTGTCTTCTCCAAAGTGTTCTCCAAACGTCTCCCTTCAGTCGCGCCTCGTCCAGAAGCGCATGCTCTTTGGCAGTCAGGCAATGGATGCTCAGCTCAAAGCGGGGAGTCCTCCCGGTGCGATGGTAAATCATTCCAACAACGTCCAACAACCATGAGTCCCATATTAGGTCCATATTGTGTGTGCATATAAATATAACTATATATATATATATATCAATATATAATAGGTTCGTCTTGGAAGGTTCATTCCACACAAGGTCCCATAATTCTTCCCTCTTCCCAGCAAAACCCCCTCTTCCCGAGACATCGTGAATCTTCTGCCTCGAGAGTGCGCCCAGCACATCCACCGCAAAGCGCGTTGGCCCTGAGGACGGCTTGGACCCGAGAAGTTCGAGAAATCAAACCACCAAACCCTACTCGACACGCCGGTTCCCATTCGCCTCCTTCAGGCCTGATTAGCAACAACATGCTGCCCACCAACCCTAAAAGCTCCGCAAGACTTCCCGAAACCCTGTTCCGGCGCTCAAAACACTCCTCGCGCCTGCGTGGAGGCGTGCCGCCAAAGCCTCATGGTGAGACCACTCCCCCAAAAAGGCTGTGGCTGTTGGAGGCTTTTGAGGCGTTGGAACCACCACGACCTCCAAACGAGGACCACAGCCCCGCTGCAGGGATCGGACGACCCAAGGATTCGGAACATCCACAAGACATACCCCGAGCCCAAGGGGAGTCTTGCGGAGTTCAGCTGCATTCAAAGCCACCTGTTGGAAGGCCCTCATCATATATATATATATGTGGCAGGGACCTTTTGGTAACATTTCGTTGCGGATGAAAAGCACCGGCACATTTCTCACTAGCGCGCACAGGTCTCATTTGCCCATGCCACCACGCACAGGGGAAGGAGAAACCGGACGTCGCGGGTCCTTAGATCGGTTTCTCATTGTTTTTCATTGTTCAATTATTGCACATGTATATTGGGAAGCATGCGTTGCAACTAATGAATCAGCCAAAGCGTCGTCCACTGATCTCTGGCCTGTGTGAAAATTCTCCCAGTAGAACACTCCTGGCTTTGTGCCTTGGATACAAGCGCTGATGGCTGATGGTTCCCGAAGCCTAGAACGGTTGGCATGACGTTCAAAAGCTTGTTACGCTTTTCAAAAGAGTACGGCCGCTTTTGCGTTCAAGCCAGGCTGCGGCTTTCGATCTTGCGCCAGCTCAAGTTGTACGCCTTTTCCTCACAAAGGTACCGATTGAAAAATCTTTTCGATAACCATCAACCGGATTGATTCCCGCGCAGATATGAACATAGTGTTTGGTGAATTCAATTCATGAGTGGCTTCGTGCCAAAACAAATGAGGCTCCCAAAAGCCACGTGATCATACGGTTGAAAGAGTTAAAAGAATGTCTCCGTCATTTTCGCATGCCAATCATCCTTGCGTCTTTGCAACGCGTCGAACCATCCTTTGGAAGGGACAGAGGCCTCCACCATTTCCTCAGCGTGCAACTCTGAAACGCCCAGGGCGCATTGATTGAATTGTTTGTCCATGTCGGGCCGCCAGAAATATGTTGATTTGAGCGTTAAACAAAAGTTCCTGCAACTCCGTAACTTGCCCGCAATTCTGCCAAATCTGAGACCCTGGCGTGCCATCTGGGCTTGAAGCCCCTGCCAGGTGGTGCGGATGTAAATGGTCTACGCAGGTAAACTGTAAAGAAAGAGCCACTCTTGCAAAGCAATACATGTTCTTTTTGGTGGCTAGAATCAGACTCTGCTCCACATGGATTGTGAAACTAACAAGCGCAAAACACAAGCCAGAGCACAAACCTATGTACGTTTTTGTTGAAGCATCAGCTTTCGTAAGCTCAACAAATCATATGTTTCTATGTTCGCTCGGCACCATAGTTCTAGTTTCTCTTTGGAGCGGCGTCCTACACCACCGGAGTATGGATTTCGTCGCCCGACTCACCTTTCTGCACCCGGAATACAATCCGACGGGTCACGAAAGCATTGTCTCCCCAACGACGCACTGGCCTTGCCACCGTGGACACCATATACATCGACGGGTCCCGTAGCTCCTGGATGGGGCAACCACATACCATGACTTACAAAAAAGAATAAGCATGAATAGCACGTATATTGTTGATGCTTTGACAGTTTGCATGGCTTTTGAAGAGTTTGTTTGCTTTTGTTGTGTTTACTCTTCTTCACACTCCGCAGACCTTCGCAGGACAATGATACTTGGCTAAGATCCTTTATCTAAGCTTACTGTTCTGCTTCGACTCTTCACCTCCACCTCGCCAGATCCCCGATTCGACGAAGCGGGTGTCCTTGGACTTCTCAAGG